GCCCTCCCCAGGCTCCAGAGGCTTTATAGGAGCCTGGGGAGGGCGAAAACAGCCCCCCCCCCCCCGGAGGTGCAAAAAAACAGCCCTACAGGCAAACTGGAAGTTCGGGAACAGACTTCCGATTTGCTTGTAGGGCCGGTTTAAGCCCTCCGGAGGCTTCCCTGAAGGCTCCGGAGGACGAAAAAGGACCCTAGAGCAAACTGGAAGTCTGCCAATTTTTTTGCGCTCCAGAGGCTTCAGGGAAGCTCCTGAAGCCTCCGGGGAGGCGGGGAAGGCTGTTTTCGCCCTCCCCAGGCTCCTATAAAGCCTCTGGAGCCTGGGGAGGTTGAAAAAAGCATGCAAAAAATGGGGGGTCGTGTGTGTCATGCGTGCATGTGCGCTGGGGGTCACGCATTGCATTATGGGTGTGGCACGCCCACGCACAACTCCCCTGCGCTCCCCCCGCTTTTCGCAGGCAAGCCAAAAAAGGTTTGCCATCACTGTCCTAGGGAAATAATAATAATTTAGCAGTCAGTGATATTGTTGATAACTACAAACTCTACATCCAGCTTTATATCATCTATTTCTTAATTGCACATGTTATATGAAAGCAAGCTTAAGATGCCCCATAGTCCGTGAGATAAGTGTACACACATTCAAGTCAATTTTAACTCCTGGTGACTGCGTGCAGAAGTCTCTGCAGTTTTCCTGACACAGTTTTTCAGAAGTAGTTTGCCATTGCCTCCTTCCACGGGCTGAGACAGAATGACTGGCCCCAGGTCACCCAGCTGGCTTTGTGTTTAAGGTAGAACTAGAATTCACAGTCTCCTGGTGACTAGACCAAACTGGTTCTCATAGTTAAGATATAGGGATGGAAATAATACTATGACTATAAGTACATTGAATTGAAATGTTAGCATATTCTCCCCACTTTTCTATTGTCCCCTGTTTCCTTCCTCTTCCTTTTTGGTTTTACCTAGTTTAAGATTTTAAATTGGTACAAGGTAAAATTCCATCCTTATTGCTCAGTTGATAATAATAGTGACAACGAATGAAGACCATGTCCTTCTCTGTTGGGAACTGCAGATGACACCACAAGGGTGCTCCTTGGGCCTGAAGGCGGCTATATCAATGCCAGTTTTATCCGGATGCTGGTGGGGTCAAAGGAATATCTGTACATTGCATGCCAAGGACCTCTTCCTAATACGGTGGATGACTTCTGGCAAATGGCTTGGGAACAGAAATGCACTCTTATAGCCATGATGACCCAGGAAGTAGAAGGAGAAAAGGTCAAATGTCAGCGGTACTGGCCCAGCGCTCTTGGCAAAACCACAATGGTCAGCGATAAACTCCGTCTCTCTCTGGTGCGGCTGCAGGAACTCAAAGGTTTCATCATTAGGATCATGGAACTCGAGGACATTCAAGTAAGGCCCTTGTCTTGAGGATGGTATTATGGGAGACCCAGACCGAGATATCGGGGGTGGGTGGGGACGGACACTCACTTCTGCTCCTCTTTCTTGCTTCTATGGTTCCAAAATTGCACAGGAGATGTGTGTGTGTGTGTGTGTGTGTGTGTGT